AATAAATGTTGACTTAATGCATGGAAAGACAAAAGAGAATTACAATTTAATATTTTTAGAATTTTTTAAATAATATATAGAATAATTTTTTGCTAATATTCAATGAAAATCACAATTCATATTTCTAATCACATTAATTTTTTAGCAAAAAAACAGAAGTTATTAAGAATACAGTATAAGTGAATATAAAGTGAAAACTGAAATATACCTAAAATTTTCACATCATATGATTGCTTATTGTTTAATAAAAAGTGCTGTTTTGTGAGACTAAAATGTGAAAATGAATTTCTTATAACTTCAAATAGGCATCTTCTGTTCATTCTATAGTTCTAATTTACTACCGAATTTTCATTTAAAAGTTTCACCTCTTGAAAAAAATTTACCTTTTTGAGAAGATAGTTGTGCAGAATACTTATAAAAAAGAATACTTATTTTTGTTTCTTAAAGCACAGCTTTTTATATTATTGAAGGGTTCCAATAATCTTTTTGTAATTACCATCTTTAAATAGTATATAATATTTTCCTCTTCGCATGCATTTTTGATTAGGATGCACTCATTTGACTAAATGAATAAAATTAATTGTATGCTTATATTTATATTGTATACTGTTAAAGAAAAAAAATAAAAAGATGTTTTTGAATGTCATGTTTCACAACCAAATCAATGCTCAGTGATTTATCAATGTTAAAATTGAAAGATATTTCATCAGGTTTTTTACCTTAATTTTCCTGAAGTTCCCAAATGTTTATGGTTCCCTTACTTCTTACAGTTAATTATTGCATATACTATAACTAATTAACCTATACCTAACTATTTCTGAATACTATCAATTTTATATACATAAAATTGATTATATCATATATTTAATTTTTGTTATCCTATTGTAAGAGCAGTTGTTTTGAAAAAGTTTATTTTTTATAAATGCTTATAATTAATTAAACAAGGTAAAAAACATTTTTTGGTTAATTACAACACCATCTGGAATCTTTGCAGGAAAAGTTTGTTGGTTTATGTTTAGTCCAAATCGTTGTCTAACTTATGCCATTTGAGAAATTGTAGAATTATGTTCTTGACCTTTATCATAGTTGGGCTAGCTTTGAAACTTTTTCTCACATGCAACAGAAGTAGAATAATTCACTGAAACTTTTAGATTTTCAGAAAGTCAAATATCTTTAAATTTCGATTTGTGAATATAGTGTAAAAAAAAGGTTTTGTTTGAATCATGCCTAAATCTGCTATATATCTGTTACTCAGAATTGATGTCATGCAAAATATGACTAGAAAATTGTCTATTTTCCAATTATTATTAGAAAATGTTTTTATTCATTTTTGTAATTGTGTAATTATTTTAATCTTTCTCTTGTTTTTCATACATTTAAAAGGCATTTTAGAGAAATCTTCCGTTTATTAAAAATTAATTAAAATTGATGTTTTCCTTTTAAAAAAATTATTCTTAATATAAAAAAATTGTGCAGCATTGTGCTGAAATATCTGTTCGTTCAAATATAGAAGGAAAATATTTTATTTTGTATTTAAATTGACTAATTTAAGAACAAAAATATACAATAATCTCTCGATATACCAATTAATATGTAAACATGTTCAATAAGTTGTGATTTTCTTTTATTTTAAGATTACAAATCAAATTAATTTATAGTCAGATAAGGCATAATGAAACTTAAAAAAAAAAAAAAAAAAAAAAAAAAAAAAAAAAAAAACGTAAGCAGACTTATGAATTAATGAGTAGTTAACAGTAAAAGATGTGTGAAAATAAGTTGATTTTTTCTATTATTATAATATACATTTTTAGATGTATAAACCTTTCTTTTTATTTCTGATGAAGTCAATAAATTATTCAAATTGTTAAATGAAATTTTTGTGAACAAATAAGTCTCTTGAGGATGTCATTTTCATTTACTTCATATTTGTACATTATTTCGTTACGATAATGGAAGGAAATTATCCAAATATTTTCCAATGAAGGCTGGACGATGCTTCTATTTACGAGATAACATTATGCATGATTTTATTTTATTGAGGGTAACGATAAAGCTGATCTTTCTTCCAACCTTCTTTGCAGTATATTTTCTAAGTGTAAAATTTGATAATTTGAATGACCGTTGTCTTTCCCAACGTTTTACCAACACCATCCCTTTTGTGAAAATCGTATGTACCAAAATTTTTGAAATCGTGATTCGTTTCAGAATATTTCAATAATTTCGTCTATCTGTTAGTTAAATTGATGTTTTAATCTCATCTCTGGCATTCAGGTTACCATTTAAAGATTAATAAATAAATAAAACAAATCTTATAAAATATAATTAATTTAAACAAGGAATTATTGTTTTTCTAATTAAAATTATAAAATTTGAATAGCAATCATATTTTAAAGACTCAATACTATTTAATAATTTAATTTGTTTTGTGATATAATTTTGAGTGGTTTATTTAAATAGGCATAATACATATAATTATGAATGTTAATTGGCAAACACAGAAGATTCACTCCTATAGATCTATTGAGATGAGGTGTGAAATTCCGTGTAGATATAGATCATATATCTTTTTTTTGTTTTTTGTTTTTACTAAGTCGGGGCGGCGGCCATATCGGCCATGAAACCTCTGGCAGCCCAATAAAAACCAGCATTGTTATAAAAGTTGTCTGGAGAACAGCTCATAAAGGAGAGCGCAAGGCAGTCATCAAATGTATTAAATCCATAAAAAGTGCCTGAAGAACATAGGACAGAGTCAGGAATATTGGCCACGCCGATACGGCAAAGGCGTCCTTGTAAAAAGTCATGACCAGCCAAAAGTCTAAAATTTGCAGTAAAAACCGAGCGAGGAAGGTCCACGGGGTGGGGAGGGGAGTACAATAATGAACTCCAAACCTTCTCCATCACAACTTCAACACGGTCATTTCGGAGGGACATTTGCAATCTATTTTTTTATTTTTTTTTATTACACCACAGATTTGCTGGTAGGAGAATAAAATGTGGCTGTTGCAAATTGCTTCCATTTTTTGCAAAGATGTCAGCTTTTTCATTTCCTGAAATGTTGCACTGGCTAGGGATCAACTGAAGTAATGAAGAAATTGTTTGATTAAAAAGCATCTTAACTTCCTCCCCTTGGTAGAAATCACTTATTGTATGTGAAGCAACAGCCAAGAAAAAAAGAGATAGCCTTTACATCTATAAAAAAGGCAACTTTCTTAAGTGGTGTAGACAAGGCAGGCATAATCACAACTGGGCTGCAGTGACGAATTCGTGTCTTGTTCGGTTACCAAAAGGCGTTCCAAGGGGCACCACGTAGAGGTGAGACCCCCTCCCCCTCCATATATATATATATATTTTGTACAGATGATATGAATCGCTCAGTAAAAAGATTTGTATTAGTAATTTTACTGAACGAAACCTAAAGACTCATACTAAAAGTTCTCTTTTTATCCGAATCATTTTTAAGCGATTGAGCAATTATGGGATTTGCATTTCATACAAAAATTTGCTTCTTACAATAAATTTTCTTTGGCCATTAGATCAAGGCATATTGCAATTTGAAATTTTTTTGGGATAAGCTGATTTATCAATTAATGAGTTGTTAATAGTAAAAGATGTGTAGAAAAGTAATTGTCGGTTTTATATGAATTTCATTCAGACTTTCAAATAAATTTAATAGGCAATCCATTTTTAAAAATTCTTATAAACATTTTTATGCGGTTAATTTAATTGGGTCAGTTAAATTTAAGTGTTTTGATTTTATAAGATTTTAGAAAATTTCTTTATTTTCCAAGATGAGTCATTTTATGAACCCTCCTTTTCGAACCTATTATAAATATTTTCTGGCCTACAAAGTTATCATGCTCATCCCGACATAGCGTATACATTGATGTTGAGTTTTGAATCAAGCTCCCGTACTACTTCGCCAAGTCAACACTAAGCGCTATCCACTAGGTCATACCGGGCACAGTTTCACATAATAATAATAATAACAATTATTATTATTAATAATAATCATACTATTTCAGAAAACTGCAAAGTTTTATAAAGGGAGCTGCAAACCATTATGTGGTAACTACTTGAGTGTAATAAATAAATATGTCCCAGCTTATTGAGTTCGTTATCTTCACGTGGAAAGAAATTGTACATTTTTTTAATGTTAATAAATTAACGAGTTACCATTGTAGTGATAAGCAAATTGAAATTGTTATGTACAGTGGAATGCAATGAATTAATTAGTAATAAACAGTTCACTCATTTGGAAATTGAAATGAATACATTAATAAAACGAAGATGGAGTGAATATTAGCTGAGTACTAATACGGTGCATTGTTGTCGACAATATTGTTATAAGGTATTATTATGAAGGATTTTTTACGGCAATATTAAATACCAGTAAATTACTTTTTTACAAGCTATGGAATTGAGGAACTTAATTGTTTTAAGTTTTGTTTTCTGGTTATTAAGAAAAGATAAGTTCCTTTACGATTAGTGCCACCTTAAATGTTAAAGTTAGAACTTTTAATGTTAGTGTAACGTGATTTGTAATATTGATTTCCTAATGGTATATTGGTATTGTATGGTATCACAAATACCTAATGATATTTGGGATTGATGCATTCGGCTTTTACCTTGTCCGGAAAACTTAGTTCCAAATCTTAAATCTGTAGCGAAATGTGAACCGCGATCGTTTGCTCGCTTACACTAGTGGTTCTCAAAATTTTTGAGATCGTGGGGCACATTTAAAATCAAAATCTTATCCCACTTGGCTGGCCAATCCACGAGCCCATATGGACTCATGATTGAAGGGGAAGGAAGCAGCTTCTGTTGTGATGGAGCACCCGTAGGTGAAGCCTGACTTTTGCTCCGTGACGCTCTTATCACCGGGACCTACGGCAAAGTGGTTCCGAACCACTACAAACATCCATGGCACCGCCGGGATTCGAAAACCTGTGGCACCGAGCGCCAGAGCGCTGACACTCGGCCATTCAGGTCCCAAATTTGCCAACGGCACGCGGTGTTCCCAGGTGGTCACCCAACCGCGCCCAATGATGCTTAACTTCGGTGATCTAACGAGAACCGGTATATTCATCAAATAATTGTAGGTGCATTATGTAAAAATTTCTGAGAAATATGCTATAATAGTTAAGTCAAATATTACAGAAAAAATAAAATGAAACAGACTTTAGATTTATTCATTCTTATGTTTATGAACAAAATAATGGTATGTATGGTATCACAAATACCTAATGATATTTGGGATTGATGCATTCGGCTTTTACCTTGTCGGAAAACTTAGTTCCAAATCTTAAATCTGTTCGAGCATATATTTGGAAGACAAACTTTCATATCCTCATCAGTTCATTGAAGATTTGTTCTCTTTTTACATTTAATTGTGGAGAGGGTAGAAAATCCTAATTTACATAAATATGACGCTGAAAATTGTAGTAAAATGTTTAAAGCCTTTTTAGATATTGACACATATTCTTCTTTTATAGAAATCCAAAAGTTTCAGGTAACAATTCTTTATGTTTCTGTGGATATAGCTGTCAGTTCTTCTTTTAATATTTAACCAAAATCACTTGAAGTTTCCATGAACGGGTTTCTAGTCCAATCGAAAAAATAAAATGGTGGTCTTTATTTTCCGCCAGTATTAAGTGACGAAAAATAAGTTTAATGTTGTATAAAGCTCATATTTTATCTTGTTAAATGTCCAACTATTGTTGGAAGTGTTTCATTTATGCAAGCGTTACTTACCAGTGGACACATTTCCAAATCACCTTCAACAGCTTTTCTTTTCCAAATCAGTAGTTTTCTCTTAAACGCTCGCATTTTGGTCAGTGGATGTGTGATATTTTCTTTTCTTATTTTTTTTTTACCCTTGCTTGCTACTATTCAAAATATTAAGCTGTTGAAATATATCGGCCAAATGCTGTAATCTGACAATCCTAAATTCTCACCGAAGAAGGTTACAAAAATGTAGTTTTTACATCTCTTCATAAAATGCCACAAGTTCTTGTCTAAACTCGTTTACAGTGATAAGTACTTTCTCCTTTGACAGCCACCTCACCACAGTGTGTAAAAATAGCTATCTGTGTTGTGAATCAATATGGATAAAAATCTTTTCGAATAAATTTGATTTCAGATCTTGTTTTAATAAAGTTTACAATCCGAAATGCTTGATGTAAAACTTCTTAATTTTTCTCTGTATGTTTTTGCACCTCATAATATCAATACCAGTAAATTACTTTTTTTACAAGCTTTGGAATTTTACTTTAGAAATACTTTTTTTACAAGCTTTGGAATTTTACTTTAGAAATACTTTTTTACAGCTTCCCTATAAAAAAAGCAATGAGCAAGGGAGAACAGCATTCACCCTTTTTTCTTCTTTTTTAAAAAAGATGTAAGGCCCTTAACACACCTTCTGTGGAAGAGCTGTATCTGTACAAATCTCTATTTTACCGCCTACACGCGACTTTCATGTTAAATGCCATTTAACAAGGCAGCTATTCAAAATGTTAAAAGCATCCTCACCTTTCGTAGACACACTGATTTACTATTTAATCTTCATTAATAAAATGCAATGGAAATTCTTTTAATATTGAAAATTATATAGACGCTAGCGCTCCTAATGGCCAACCATGGATATTATTTTAGTTTCTCGGAAACCTTCTATGGTGCATTATCATTGTTTAGCGACTTTTTATGTGAAGAAAGAGGAATAATACAACAACCAAAAAAGTTAGTTGTTTGTAATGAAAACTATCTTTGAATGGAAAAAACTGACAAGAAAAAGAGAAACTTTACTTATTTTTATATCTGGAATTCCACAGAGCGCACCAGTGCGCCATGCCGCAATCTTTGAAAACCACTGACCCCAAATTGTGTTTCGAGTGGGAGGAGGAGGGGGCTGTTTCAGTGGGGACGTTTCGGTTTGCGTACTAACGAGTAATGAAAGTCTCCGCTCCAATAAGTCAGTTTTTGCTCGCGTATCAAAAGCCGCGTCCAGACGGGAAACGAGTCTGCTTCGCGAAACTTATAAAGCATTTGGCAGACCATTCCGGGAGAATTATGTGTCGCTACTCCGCTCCGATCATAGTCGATTTTTCTGCACATCAAAGGAATTCCATCAAGGAAGCATCCGTATTCACAACTAGCTATTATTCACAGCCAGAGATAACGTGGGTTGTTTTTCGCGATCAGACGTACAGAGGCACAGACAGACACGGAGCGCTTCGGGGTTGACTTGATTCGATTCGACTCTTACTCCCGTATGAACGCCACTTAAGTGAGTTAAAAATTACTTTATCATGCCGAGATTGAGCATAATAAATCTGTTTGCTAGAAAGTTCCTTTATTTGATTTGAGAAAGAGAATTCGTGTATAAATGACGCACTGCGGATGTTGTGCATTCTGTTAAAAAATATTTTTAAAGTAATGGCAGAAATATCTGTAAAATATTTAAAATATGTTGTGTTGGCTTTTCATTTGTGCGATGCGTTAGCTTCCGCACATACATAGGTCCGATGCTAATGCTGAAATATTAACAAATTTATTGTAGTTTAGATATTAATCATTTCTCTTTCCTTGTTCTGAAACTCAGTATTTATCGTTTAATTTACAGTAGTTAAAAGTGGAGTACGGCCAGAGCTACACATCAAAGAAACTAATTAATTATACCTGGTCTCTGAAACATGATATTTTGCTTACACATTATCATTACAAATACCCTGATAAAAAATTTACAGTTAACAGTTGATACTTAAAATATTAATAACAACTATGGTACGTACTTATTGCAAAACAGGACTTTCATGCTCTTTTTATATATATATAAATAAATTAATTAATTAATTATTACGACAAACATTAGCGAAAGAGCGAGAAATACTGTGTCGCATTGGCAATCGAGGTCGACAAATGCCCGAATGTACATGAAGAATTCATAAAATTAACGGTGCCGGATTATAGAAAAAGCCGAACCATTAAATACCGGATTAAAGAACATTTACTGTAATAAGCATTTTATGATGAAAGATAATAGAAATACTGATTTATAAATATCGTGAAGTTGTATTAAGTAAAGCTTTATTAGAATTAAAAGAAATAATTATTTTCCTCAATTTTTCAGTTTCAAAATCTAGCTGAATTTAACTTACAATATTATATTGATTAAAGAGATTTTCCGATGTTCTGCTGAAGTTGAGTGAAATTTAAGTGGAATGCATTTGTTAACAGTTTTACACTATGTTATTTCAAAAAACAGGCTATTGATTTAAATTCATTTGTCACCGGAAAGGCAAATATGCAACAAATCCAATAATACTAAATGGACCACGGGCAACCTGCTACACTACAACCACTTTTAGTATAACCGAAAATTGGAATGAACACTCTCTATGAACTCTGCACTTCAAACCCAATGAAAACATGCCATCCTATAGATTTATCATACTAATCCGCGACATAAACATATAAATTTCATTTGCTTGGATACGACTCGACTTCTCTTGCCTGAAATTGAACTTGCTATGCATCCGCCCGAGTGTCAAACTAGAGAATAGTAAGCTTCTGATTGGCCGGCGTTCAGTTTCGATTTGCCTTGGATGAAATGAAATTCACTTAAATCTCAGCTTCATTAAAGATTCTTATTCATCATCGATCATTTAAAAAGTTTATTTCTTTCTAATTAATCATTCCTTTTTTAAAATTATTTGCTAACGTTCTTTTAGCAATTCAAGTGTAAGTATTGTGAACATGACAGAATATTTTCGAAATTCAAAATACGATAATCAGTTTATTAATTTTCGTAACGCAAGTTCTTAAAATGTCAATGATTTCGATTGACATTGAAAATCAGTGTTATTTTTAGTTAATTTCTTTTTTTAAATAATCATTTGAAAATTTTCATAATATGTTTTAATGTATGATTGCAGAAAAATAAACTGTTGAATAAATTTAGATATATCATTTTACAAATGATGCAATTATACATGCATATTCTTTTAGGTGAAAAAGTCCTTTGCTTCCATGGACCTTTATTGTATGAAGCTAAGGTATGATTTTTTAAATATATATTAGTAATACTAGATTTTTAGGACTGCTCATAAGGCCCACAAAAAACAAAATCCTCATTTACTTTTTCTTGAAAATCAATTTTCATATTTTAATCTTTTCTTCAAAAGTATTATTTTTAAATAAAATTACATATAGTATTTGCTATTGGACCAATGGATATTTTGAAATTTAAAAATGTGTCTTTCAGAATTCATTGTGTTTATTCCATACATATTTACTGAAATTAAATTTTATTCTTTGTATTTTAATAAATCTCTGTTTTTGATTTATTGATTGAGGCTCACATTAGTACTGTTAATTTTAGCATCAATTGATGGATGTCTAAAATGGCAAATATGGTCAACACTTATTTACAATGCCTTCTCATACTGAATATTGATGGCTGAAATGTTTTCTAAGGAGAGTTGTGAATGAATCCTTCAAAAACAGAACTATTGTATTGTTATCTTATTACCACTGAAATCCTCAAATCTAAAATAAATAAATAAATAAATAACCCTTTTTAAAATCTTTTATTAATCTTAATTTTGTTCCTGGGCGAATCTTTGTGTATGAAGGTCTTCAGACTGCTCCAAGTTGCTTTGGATTTAATTAAAAATGGATAAGCTATTAATAGATTGTAAAGTTCTTTTCCCCTTATGTTTTACATATCCAAGCACATTTTTATTGATTACAGACAGTATTAATTTCCATTGCACAACTGCTTTTCTTCAAAGAGATGGCAATCTTGTATTTCTTATTACTTGGAACATTTCTTTTATCTTTGAATCATATAATTATATGTCTTTTAATGCATGGGGAAACTCCATTTTAAATTTTAGTAACCTAGCCTGCTCAATTCAATTGCATTTCATTCATCTTACATATTATAAATGGTACTTTTTTTTATAGTGCTCTTTATTCTTAAACAGTTTTTTATTAAGTCTTCATTTGAGCATCTCATTGCACTTTTCTATTCTTTTCTTTCTGTGTTGTTATTACTTTTACTGCCATTAAATACTTTTGCATTTACTTT